CAAACTTAGTGATTCAAAGGGGCACATGCACCCTAATGTTTATAGCAGCAATGTCTACAATAGCCAAACTATGGAAAGAGCCCAGATATCTATCAATAGATGAATGGATAAGAAGATGTGGTGTGTGTGTGTGTGTGTGTGTGTGTGTGTGTGTGTGTGTGTGTGTGTAATGGAATATTACTCAGCCATCAAAAAGAATGAAATCTTGCCATTTGCAATGATGTGGATAGAGCTAGAGTGTATTATGCTAGTGAAATAAGTCAGTTAGAGAAAGGCAAATACCATATGATTTCACTCATATGTGGCATTTAAGAAACAAAACAGATGAACATAGGAGAGGGGCAGGAAAAATAAAATAAGATGAAATCAGAAAGGGAGGTAAATCATAAGAGACTCTTAACAATAGGAAACAAACTGAGGGTTGCTGGAGGGGAGGTAGGTGGAGGGATGGAGTAATTGGGTGATGGGCATTAAGGAGGCACTTGATGGAATGAGCACTGGGTGTTGTATGCAACTGATGAATCACTAAATTGTACCTCTGAAACTAATAATATATGTTAATTAAATTGAATTTAAATAAAAAATTAAGAAAAAAAGAAACTGTTGATAGCTATTCGAATAAGGAAGAGTATGGCTGTCATTAAATGTGATACATGGAAGTCATTATTGTCTTGATATTTTCTTCCTTCAAAATAAAGTAGTTTATTTTTTATTTTTTAAAAGATTTTAGATTAATTTACTTGAGAGAGAGAGTGAGTGAGAGAAAGAGAGTGAGTGAGTGAGAGAGAGAGAGAGAGAGAGAGGGAGGGAGGGAGGAGGGAGAAGTAGACTCTCCACTGAGCAGGTAGCCTGATGCAGGGCTCGATCCCAGAACCCTGGGATCCTGACCTAAGCTGAAGGCAGACACTTAACGGAGTGAACCACCCAGGCACCCCCAAAATAAAGTAGTTTAAAGTGGACATTACTGGGGTGCTGGCTGGCGCAGTCTGAGGAGCATGTGACCCCTGATCTTGGGGTTGAAAATTTGAGACCCACGTTGAGTGTAAAGATTACTAAAAAAAAATAAACTTTAAAAATAAATAAATAAATAAATAAAGTGGACATTATTGATGGCACACTTGATTACACTATTGAGAATATGTCTTTCACTTTCGTATATGGTGTCTACTTCCTTCCTAAAACATTTCTTGGCTAGTTTGTGATCTCTGAGTACTTTTACATTGCTGAGATAGAAAAGGCGCTGATTGCTGACTTTGTTGTGGAGATAAAGATAGTAGACCCTATTTGGATCACCAAGAAAGTACTAAAATCCACGAGCACATGTCAAAGGAAAAGCAATTAATGTGAAATTTCAGTGTCACGGAGAAAAAATATTTCCTAAGACAGAATTAACATCATGGTCTAGCACATGAGATGTTTTTATCAAAGTGAAATAACATGGAAGAGAATAGGGAACTCAAGCTTTTGAGCTGATTAGTGATATAAAATAATTAGATAATTCTAAAATATGTTTTTTCTGTGAAAGTAATTAATTCTGTAATCAATTAATTCTATAATCAATACTAATTAACTAATATAATTCCATTAATTCCACAAAAGCTATTAATACTACAATAAAATTTACCTAAAAATGCATCAGACTGAAAATTTTAGAAAGTACTACTATAAAAAGAGTTGCACTAATTAAATGACACCTTCTGTGTGTGTTTTTTTTTTAAGATTTTATTTATTTATTTGACAGAGAGAGAGAGAGGCAGGAGAGAGGGAACAGAAGCAGGGGGAGTGGGAGGGGGGGAAGCAGGCTTCCCGCGGAGCAGGGAGCCTGATGCGGGGCTCCATCTCAGGACCCTGAGATCATGACCTGAGCCAAAGGCAGACACTTAACGAATGAGCCACCCAGGCACCCCTCTGTGTGTTTGTAAATACGGTTGAGTAAATGCACATAACATAGTTAGTTAGGCATTTTTCTAATTTAGGAATACCTAAATGCTGAAGATTCTATAAAAGATATAAAAAGTCCAGGGAAATATTACACAAACACATGCTACAGTCAAATACAAATATTGTATATGATTAAGGCCATGTATGACTAAGTTTTAAAACATTACCACCTTACTATTGTCTGGAATTTTTATTAATGCATGATCTAAATTGAAGTTGTCAAATCAATATTTGATGCACCATCCCAAAGAGCCTTAAGATCTTATAGAGAAAATTATTTCAGATAAAAAGGCATGGAGTTGTAGGGAGTCACAATTCAGTTTGGGGAGCCCATGTCTTAATTATGATGTGTAAAATTCAAGAGTTAAATTTGAAATTGTTGGGGAGGAAGAAGTTTTCCTTCTACCTTTCTAGATTCTTGGCTGAGACACCCCCTGCAAAAAAAGACAAATTAACAGGAGAAAAACAAACAAGTTTAAAACATGTATACCTCTTCTATACATGAGAGAGGAATTCTCAGAAATGGTTCAAGCCATCACCTTAATATCATCTTCAGCTAAACACAATAGAAGATGTTGGGGGTAGGGAGTCAATTGTGGGAGGTTACCAGGAAAAGCACAGTAGAGTAAAGTGTTGGGCAGATTTAAGTCCTTACCTTCTCTGCTAAGAAAAGGTTCCAGAAATTTAGTCATTCTTTTCTTCCTGGTACAAAGAAGAAGACACCCTTACAAATGGAGATTTCCCTTATAAATTTAATGTTTCATACCAAAGGGTAATTTCTACTCAGTTTTCAGAACTTCACCTGTGTCTATTATTTCTTAAATAATCAATATGCCAAAAGAGCATATTTTACTCCCCTTCAAAACTTTCTATTCATCGCTTTTTTTTTTTTTTTTTTGACTGGGGCTTAAGTCAGCCCTCTTCGCCCACAACAAACTGATAAAGTATAGTAGGTCTGCTCTGAAGTGCTCTGGCTTCCATTACAAAGACACATCTATTCTTTCTTCACCAAGGAAGCAGAAAAGATGCTCTAAAATTTCAAGAACTAATCACTGAGTGAACCAGAAAATAGGGTGCCAGTGTTAAGCATCACTTTTTCAGTTTATATTGTTCAAAATTAGGGTGCTGAAGAAAATTCACACACACACAAAAGGGTCCATTTGGTTATAAGAGTTCAGTTCAAAAAAGGAGCATGAATGTAGATTTAAAGATTGGTTGGAAGAATTGAATATGCACTATCTGAAAGGAAACATCACACTGTATTTATTTTTCTATTATAAACCTAGTGTTTTGAAAAGCTTTCCTTGGTTTCTTAAGTATGGTTGGGTTCATAAAGGAAATTTACTTTCAGAAAACAAGTCTTTCTATTTTATCTGGAATGAGTAATGAAAATCTTGCTGCTTAGCTGTTCAGGGGAAGGACTATTTATACTGTGAGTTTTAAATAATCCCATGTTCTAAGCTACTATATTTAAGAGTTTAGGCAAATTTTGTAGTACAGCCCCCAGGAAATTAGAACTCTCTTTCTTGCACTTTGAGTCTTAGGGTTTGAGTTCAGTTTGTTTGTTTGTAATATACCTGTTGGTCAAGTTCTTCTGCTCAGAGATTGACAGAGAATCTGTAAAGCATTCATGATGGAAAGACCCAAATGTGTTCCCCACGAGATAAATTATTCGCTGCTTTGTCTTTTTTCTTTATTTTACCTCAAAATATTTAAAATATTTTTGATTTTGAAATCGATCTGTTTTCCCCAATTCTTTGTGCTCTTAATCTTATTACTGTAAATGACTGACATAAAACAAAACAAAACACACCACCCTCCCCCCATTTTGAAAAAGAGGTTACAGAAAAACAAAATCCCACATTACTAAAAACAACACCACCCTCTTCCCTTTGAGTTTCCCTTTTCCTCTCTCCATTTGAAGCCCTCTCCACCCTATGTGGATTTTTCTGTACATTGTGACTTCCAACTGGTTCCTGGCAAGGTTTGATGTTTGAATTTTCTTTTCTTTTTAAGATTTTATTTATTTATTTATTTATTTATTTATTTATTTGAGAGAGAAAGAGTGCACAAGTGAGGGGAAAAACAGAGGCAGAGGGAGAGGGAGAGGGAGAGAATCTCAAGTAGACTCCGCCTTGAGCATGGAGCGCAACACGGGGCTCAACCTCATGACCCTGAGATCATGACCTGTGCCAAAACCAAGAGTCAGATGCTTAACCAACTGAGTCACCCAGGTGCCGCAGATGTTTGAATTTTCTGATAGGCTTAATTTAGAATCATTTTTTTAAATAATTTTTTTATTTTACAACAGCTTTTGATTCATAGAATTATTGCAAACATAATACCTAGGGTTCCAATATATACCACACCCAGTTTCTTCTATAGTTAACAGCTTACATTAGTATGGTACATTTGTTATAATTTATAAACAAATATTGATACATTATTATTGACTAAAGCACACATTTTATTCATATTTTCTCAGTTTTTCTTCATACTGTCTTTTTTCTATTCCAAAATCCCACCTAGGATGCCATATTGCATTTAACTGTCATGTGTCCTTAGGTTTCTCTTGGCTGTGACAATTTTCAGATATTCTGTGTTTTTGATGACCTTGGTAGCTTTAAAGATTACGGGTCAGCAATTTTGTAGACTGTCTTTCAAGTAGGGTCTGTCTGATGTTTTTCTCATTATTAGACTTGGGTGATGTTTGGGGGTGGGAGGCCACATAGGTAAAAGTACCATTTATATCCCATTATCCCAGTATATCAAAGATACATACCATTGACATGACTTAGAACTCTTGGTGTTGACCTTAGTCATTTGGTTTGAGATGTTTATCAGGTTAGAATCACATTTTCACTTTTTCCTGAAGACCATCAAAGCATTTTCCTGCAGATTTTAATGACCTTCATTAAAGCTATAAGGAAGCTAACTAGGACTGATCTTTCGGTATTTCCCCTATTGGTGATGCTGTGAAGCTGCTAAAAGTTTCTAAGTAGTTAGACAAATAACTTCAGTGGTAGTAACAACATCTTATCTTTTTTCATGTACTATAGGTGGGAATGAGATCCCGAAATCAGGGTGGTGAAAGTTCATCCAATGGGCATATCTCCTGCCCCAAGTCCTCTATCATCAGCAATGCTGATGATAAAAGTCTCTCAGAAGATGCAAAAAAGAAAAACAAATCAAACAGAAAGGAGGATGATGTCATGGCCTCAGGAACTGTGAAACGACACCTAAAATCATCTGGAGAAAGTGAACGAAAAAATAAGAAATCCTTGGAGTTATCCAAAGAAGACCTTATACAGCTACTCAGTATAATGGAAGGAGAGTTGCAGGTAGAGTCCAATTTTCTCAACTATTTGTCTCTAGTTCCTAAGCTATAAAATGAGAGACTATGAATCTATCTCCCTCACTGGATTGTGAACTTCATGGGGAAAGGGGTTATATTTTTCTTGTTAATTTCTAAATCCCTGCTATAAGTTTGTACTGAATAAGTATGTGTTGAATGAATGAATGAATAAAGAATAGATGCTGATTCCAACTTCAAGCTTCTCTAGAAGCAGAAAGTTTCTTCATGATATGACTTTGGTAATAATTTAACCCAGGCTCCTGTGCTTAGTAATCAGTGAGGTTATCTAATTTAGCCATTGGCTGTGGTTGAAAACCATAGAAAAGTCGTAATTATTAGAGTACAGAGTTTAGATCAATGGTTACTTTTGCCTCCTTCTAGAAGGTAGAGTAAAAGGGACATAAAGAAATGGAGGGAGAGACAAAGAGAGGGGAAAATACAGAAAGCTTTGTTTAGAGCAGCCTTACTCTTTTTTTCATTTTTCTTAACTTTCAGCTTTAATTTCCTACAAGTTGAGATGCACACAAATAAGCAGAGCATTGTATTGTGAAGATGTAATATTTTCACAAAACATTTTCAAATCTATTATCTTATTTGATATCAACAAAAAATGTGGGTTGTGTCCAGATCTCACCTTAGGTTTCCTGAGTCTTGGTCCAGTGCTCTTTCCACTGCCATCCTTACCATCCTTCTGTAGCTTCCATGAACCAGGTCCCCCATTAAGTGTTTGTTTTTAGGGATCCAAGGGGAAGTTGGGATTCTTTTGAGTTTCTGAGCTCTGGACAATGGTGTTTCTGAAAGTGGGGGGAAAAATAACTTTTTTCTTTTTGGGAAAGAATATGACTTAAGAGTGAAGTTGCTGTTTTCCTTTTTGTTTTTGTTAGGCTCTTAGCTTGCCTGAGCCTCGAGGGGAATGCGAATAATCACATGAGATGAAACCTTTGTTTGCTGCTGTTAGCATCAGAAGTATTATTTGCAATCTACCCTAACCTAGGGTGGGCTAGCCTGATCTGTTCCTGTTCTCATCTGTGTGTGCATACAGATAAGGAAATCCCTGGGGAAAAGAGAAATAGAAAACATACAAAACTCAAATTTTAAACAAATAAACATGATGGAGCTTACCATTTATGGGCTGAGAAAAATCACATTTGCATTTCACAGCAAAAGATGAAATTTTCCAGAGTTCCACCATTACTAGAAATAGCTTCACCACTCCCAGAAAGGTGGTTAATGTTTTGTCTATTAACATTTATTGTGTAAGGAGGCAGAATATATTAGTCTAACTTTTTAAGCTGCCCTCAGTTGACAGGTACTAACCTGAGTGGAAGGTACACAGTTGTCATGAAAGTTTTCACAAAGCAAGGCCATCAGCTCCCTTCTCTCCAAGTATGGTGGCTTGTGTGAAGCCTGTGGCTCTTCCAGATTTTAATTTCCGTAGAAGGCTATTATATCATGGTGGACTCTGGAAGGTATTTAAGATTCATGTGACTTTTATACTCATGATGTTGCCAGATACAGTTTCAGAGCCAAGGCATGCAAAATATAAGGCCACATACCCAGAACATTAAGGAAAATAGCCAGAAGGTGCCAAAGACATGCATTTTGCTCTCCATTAAACTTTATAAATACTGGATACCTTACCTTACACAATAGATATATTCCTGAGTAGCAATAAATAAGTAAGAAAGTGTAAGATATTTGTGGAGGAGGCAGTGAAGGAAAAGAGAAATGAAGGACCTGGTATTTTAAGAAATTTCATGGTAAATTCATTTGCAAAGCAAATCATCCATCCACCCATTTATTTATATGCATCCACATAAGTGTATGTACTTATAAATGCAGATTGTGTCATAGGTTTGTTTAAAATAAGAGTGTTCCTGTATTTGGAGCTTAGATCTATGTTTTTGTAGCAGAAACCTGTCCTTTATTAGCATTCTCACGTGAGAGGGTGTGTGTGCTGTAGCTAAGTGTGGGAGGCAGTTGGCTTTAGCAACTATGAGTGGGCTGGTGAAAATGTGGCAGCTGTGTGCCAGGTTTGCCAGACTAGAGATGTGAAAAAAATCTATGTAAAGATCTAGTGCTGTGAAGAGAGGCGAGGATATGCCTCGAGAGGTAAGGCCTGTATGCCATTTGGCTTGACATTTATGAACATTTAGTGACTTGTCTCCCAGACCTTCAGAGACCACTGATTACCTCCCTTTATGGGGTGGCTGTATGTGACTCAAATACCCTTCCTCTGGAGCTAGTGTTCCAAGGTTATATGAAATATTGGGGCCGACAAGCATCTTTGAGGTGTCTTATCCACCTCCTTTATATTACAAATGTAAAATGACACTCTGATAAATTATGTGACTTTCCCAAGGTTGCACAGCAGTTTAGTTAACATTTGCTCTAGATCCAAATTCCCTGTCTCTCAGTTCAATGTCCCTCTCATTAGGTTATTTACACTCGGGGATGTTCAAGGGTAAGATCCAGGACCTCTGTATTTCTTCTTCATTTGAGAATTTCTTTCAAGTAGACTCCTAGTGTGAACTCCGGGGCCAAAACCATTTTTTAGGTTAGAGAAATTGCAGAAGGTTTCTTTCACATCCAGGCAGTAGAAGTGTATGATCTGAGTCTTGAAGTTTGGTGTGATCTGGATAGTGAGAAACACGGTGGAGGGCAGGGGTGCCACATGGTCACAGGCTGGGCCCCACACAACTTTGGGGGGCTTCATATTCACTACCCTATGAGGGTTGTGCCCTGGAGTTTTGCAGCAGCTTAGCCTTGGGGAGACTGGAACTGCTGGTTAAAAGAAGTAGCGTGACACAAAGAAAAAAGGGCTTGTAATATTGGGGAGATAGACTGAGATCAAGTCTGCCTGTAGATGTACTGGGGAAATGACTTGGGGGACAAGGAGGAGATGGGAGTTCACTTGAGCTTTCCATGTCAATTTTCCCTTTCTCAGACTCGTTTTTGATCTCTCTTATTATCTCTACCTCCATATCCAGGGTTTTGGACATTATAAACAATGATGTGTTTTCTGGTACCAATGACCTGCCACCTTAGGACTCTGTTGTGTGATCTATAGGAATTTGTTGAGCCAACATTAAAACAGCATGGCCTTTATGTTAGCATTGGCTCTTTGCAAAATCTGCAAATTTGCTGTTTTGCTTGCCAGTCCAAAACAGAGTAAACTCTTGAAGTGCAACTTTAGAGGATATGTATTAGTCATGGAGTTGCCATTCTCAGGGATTTTTGCATTTTAAAGAGTCTTGTCTAGGAACTGGTGGTGTCATGACCTTTGTCTTAGAGAGGGACATCTTCCAGAGCTTTCAAGCCACACCTTAGCCGATTCAGGCCTGTCATTTTAGCACAATGGCTGGCCAGCATTGCCTGCATGGAAGTAGCTGGGATGGTTTCCATTATGATTCTTCTGTCATTGACACTTCCAATAACAAGAACTTTCTAATAAATTGGAACATTTTTACTCTGGGTGAAAAACTGGTTACATATTTCCCAGACTAAACTGAAAATAATGAAATAGTATACCCAGACTATCACTTGGGCACCATGATTAATTTTCCTTTGTATTTGTCCAAAAATAGCACTTTAAAGAAGCCAGTTGATTTGGCTGTACTAAAAACAACAAAAGTTCGAAGGAAATGCTACTCACATCAAAAAGCCATAACACAGAAAACTTGGCAGAAGGCCATTCTTGTAAAATGATTCAAAAACAGTATACCAATTAATTCTTCTTGATACAAAAAAATATTTAGCTATTTTGTATAGTGAATCCCCTTGATATATCCACTTGAATACATTTAAAAAAAATCAACCTCTAAAAAATTTTCATCATTCTTTCCCTTTGTCCTTATAGTTAGTTCTCTTTTACCCGTGCAAAAGGAGGCTCAGGGAAATCTAGCTAACACGACTAGATAATGCACCACCATTCCATTTGGCTTTGGTGTTTGTCAGGCTGAGTCAGAGACAGGATCATCCACATGTTGAAAAATCTACCCTTGTCCCATGTAACTGGCAGAAGAAGATGTTATATTTCAGATACTTACAAAATAGATAACATGACCCTGTGAATTACTAGAAGTTTCCTCTATTCTCTCCTTTTGCAGTTCCTAGCCATTTTCTTCTCTCTCTTTTTAAAAAAATATTCATTCATTTATTTGGGGGGGGGAGGGGCAGAGGGAGAGGGAGAGAGTCCCAAGCCGACTTCGCACTTTACCTCTCTACCACCTACTGTAGGTGAGCCTTCTACCTGCTCTCCTTTCTTACTAAGAGATTTCATTCATTCTTAGGGCACTAATTAATTAGTTCTAAATTGATTTTACAATATTTAAGAAACATTACTGTGCTAGAGGTCTGAAGAATGCAAAGATGATGAATAATAATACTCATAGCTAAAATTTGATGAGGTCCTACTATGTGCTAAGCATGGTTTTAGGCACTGGGTACTTCAGCAGTCATGGTGAAGAAAGAGCTCCTGACCTTGTAGGATAAATGAGAATATGCAAGAATGAATATTCTATAGGGTAGTTGCAGTGCAAATTATGGGAGCACAAAGGAGAGAAAGATTATGAAAATCTCAGGAGATGAGCAAAACCTCTACTAAAGAATTAGATCATGAATAATTGGTAGGTTTTAGACAAGTAGAAATGAGTGTAGGGACCAACACAAACAGATTCAAACATAGAGTGGGTGGGAAAGTATAGGTTATATTCATCAGTAAATAGTCTTGCTTCAGTGGAGAAGTATTTGGCAGAGATAAAACTACACCTGAATCTGATGTACAATATGTTTACAGATAAGACATATGAATAAAAACAGTCAAAAGGAATGAGGATCCCGGGAGAGTGGAGTGATGCAGAAGCCGAGGGAGTCAAGATTGTCAAGAAGAGAGAGATTATGTCAGTCAAATCAGCAGAAAGCTTCAGTTGGATATGACTGAAGGGTGTTCTTTGGGTTTGTGGATCTGTAGGTTATGGGGAACAT